ATTCTAACAAAAAGTTTGGATAAAGAAAAGTGGTAAGGCCAATTAGTAAAAAAGGAGATAACTAAAAGCAACTTCCTTGAATTTTGATTGGATGAACCCATGATAAGGTCGGTGAAGAATATTCTTAATTTTCCATAACAATTTGTGGCTTGGTCTCCTACAAAAAAATTTGCGGCTTGGCCAAATGATATTCGAAATTTCTTATTAATAGTGCAAGGTCTATTTTGATGCAGATATAACATACAATAAAGATATTTCATGCATCTTTTTTTAGTGCACCATAAATTATCAAAATAGGTCTCAAATTTATTCTTATCCATTATAATTATCAAATTCTTTCTTTCTTTCAAAAAAAATAAAATAAAACGAAATAAAATAAAATGATGCTTACAAGTGTGAAATATCTTTATTATTTGTATATACTTTGGCATATCAATCATAACTTAGATTATTAAACTAAAACACCCAAAAGTTGCTTTATACATATAGAGTACATATTTAAAATAACAATTACTTCTAATATACGAAGTGTTTGGAAAGGAAAATATAATATAGAATGAATTATAAAAACATAATTTAAAGTAGGAATTATAAATTTAATCTGATTTCAAGAGGCATTATTTTGATCGAGTAATAAGTTCATGGAAAACAATCTCGTGGAGATGATCTCATAATTTATTGTTTCCCCACCTTGTAAAAAAAAAAAAAAAAAAAAAAAAAAGGTTAAAAGCATACGAAAACTTTCCATACATCAATTTAAATACACTTCACCACATACTCAATTACTCATACACGCCTACCTCTACACAACTTCAAGTAGAAAAGAATAGAGGAATCTTTGTCCACGCACCTAAGTTTTATCTAAGTTCCTACAAACAGTTGTGTTGTGCCTACCTACATAACCAAACACAACAAGCTAAGACCAAAAGCAACAAATCTTTTCATTCAGCTAGCCTACATAAATTGAGGAAATCTTTGTCCAAATCAAGTTATCTTGAATTCCAAAACTTATCACACTTAACACTTATGATTAAAGGTAGGAGGATTTATCTCTTTATCCTATTTGTAAACTACGGAATAATTTTTAAAACAATTATCAAACAATTTTTAAAAAAGGAAAGATCCCCATAAAACAATAATCAAACGGGGAGACAAAAATACTCTCTCAAATTAATTGTAAAACTTTGAGATTTATATGATTATTACTTACAAATCTCACGTTGATTGTCTTTTTAAATTAGTATATTTAAACAAATTTAAAATTTTAACAAGTTGAATTTATCTTAATGAATAATTCTTAAATACAGTATAATTTTACAACGAATATATTATAATGTTAATGTTAATGGTCAAATACTCAAAGTTATACCTTTAAAAAACTGACCAGTATTCTCTCTCTAAACTCTATGTATTCTCTCTGCGACCCCAACCCCATAAAACCCTAGGAACTCGCCGGAGTTCCGGCATCACAGCCGTACTCCGGCGAGTCTCCTCCTCTTCTTCTCTTACTTCCCTTCTCCTCTTCTTCTTTCCTCTTCTCTGCTTTTAGGCGTCTTCATCCTCACAAATTAAACTCCGAGCCAACGCCCTCACCTATTCTCTTAAAGATCAATTAATCTCAGTTTAGAAGATGTGTTTGTGAGTCTTATCCCGGCTAAGAAGATTTCGAGAAGCCCCTGTATTACCCACCTTAGAGTGGAAGGTTCACGTTCAAAGGATTTCGCCGGCAAGGTCTAAGGACTAGGCCTAACGCCGCCGTCAAAGGTCATTGGTAATTTTGACCGTGACGAAAACGGTAAATTAAAGTTAGGGTTAGGGTTTCATGGGTCCTTGCGCTAGAGGGCTAGGCCTAATGCTGCCATCAGGAGTGGTTCGTGACGGCCGTCAGGAGTGGTTCGTGACGGAAATGGTGAAGTTAGGATTAGGGTTTTGAGGTTCTTTACTATTATGGTTTCGGATTTTGGGTCCGAAAGGTGCTCTTCGATTTTTCTTACCTAAGTATGTTTTTTCTTGGTGTTATTCAGAGTTTGCTTTACTTTTCAAATTTATGTATGGTTTATTTTAGCCTTTCTTGGTTGTTGTCCTGTATTTCTGGTTGTATTGGCTATAGTTTATTGGATGGTTGTGTGCGGAGGGAGTTTGGATCTCTTGTTAATGGATTTGGTTTTGTTGTAGTGTTGAGAGAGTTAACAGGTGTTGTTGTTTGGGAGACGAACAAGAAGTTGATCGTGGCTAGGGTGAAGTGTGTGTTATGTTGGAATTATTATTGTTGTCATTCTTTTCCCTCCTTTGTATTGATCATTGTGATCATTACTCTTGAAATTTTCTATCCGAAGCAGGAGCCCAAACTTTGTTTTAGGGTTCAAAGCTTTCTTGCCAACAAGAACAACTTATGAATGAAAGGTCACATGCCCAAGTGACCTGTTTGAAGGCCTTACTTGGTGATAAGTTGATCCCACTAGGTAAGGTTAAATTAGCCATGATCGAACAGTTTCGGTACTCTTTGCTCTCTTTGTGTTTTGAAATAGGTATCCGCTTTTTGGCCTATAGGGAGGTCCTAATCTGCAACATATTCAGCCAACCCCATTTATGTAATTTTGTTTTTAGTGTCGAAAGTTGTAAAGACTTAAATGTTAAAAGCCATGTAGTGGTAAGTTTTAGTTTTTATTTCGTATTTTGTAAACTATGATTTTATTAATATATTTTGCTATTGTCAAAAAAAAAATAAAAAAAAATAAAAAACCTAACCAGTTCAAGTTTTGTATGCAAATTGCAAACAAATAAATTCGCAAAGGAAAACAAAAACTTAATGGAGCACATAAAAGTTTCGACGTTTACGCATGCCCTAGGATGCACTTTCCACATAGTTTTGTAGCCTAAACAAGTAAACATGATAAGCTTTCAAGATAATTTTAGCTTTGTAAATTTTCTAGCACAACCTTTAATTAAAGATTTAAGAGGGAACAATATGTTTGGATACTTTTTTACATTTGCCTATCATTAATATAGTTGTAACTTGTAAAGTTGATCTAAATTTTTCTTCACAAAAATTGTGTTTATCCAAAATTTAAACTATAGTAATTTAAATACTCTTATTTTGGTTCAACTCCAAATATTATGGATGATACATTATTACCTTTTTTTTTCATGTCAAATCACAATATTTTGCTTTGTTGTATCACCTTGTATGTAGTCAATTAGATTGGTCCAGGGAATTTATTCTAATTGGATTAACAAAATACAAGGACACTACTACAAGCCTACAAGTCAAGTTACTACTATTAAAATAATAAAAAATCATAAATCACTAGGACACTTCAACTAACCCAATTAATATAAAATATATTTTGATCAAGACACAAAATTACTGTAATTGGTTTTGCGTCCCATGTTGAAAATGACAAGAGAAACATACATTCTTGAATAAATGGCTTATCTTCATGCAAAATGTTAGGCCCTACGCAGATTTTTCTGTTGTCGACATCTATCCTAAATCCTATGACCGAATGACAATATTAAAAACATAGATCAATTAAAGACTTCATGAAAATCGAATAAAACATACAATATTAAAAACATGGATCAAGATTTCATGAAAATCAGAGAAAACATACGAGTATAATATTAAAAACATGGATCAAGACTACATGAAAATTGGATAACACAAACTAGACTAAAAAATTCAATTGTCGGTTAGACCGGCCATTGCGAAAGTAACATGAAACAAGGTAGCAGTCGTAGCTCGGACACTGTTAGGAAATGACATTTTAAGTGTCCAATGCTCACACACTAACACACATTCTATACCACTTATATATTCAAGCTTAATTACCACCTCTTTCGTTTTCTGATTTGTACCTATACCTGTATCTTATCTATCTTCGAGCAAGACACAAAAATAAATGTAACGCATTAATCAACAAGGCCTATAGTCCACAAGTGTCCTTAAATATCAACGGTGAAGGTCTGCAGAATACTGACCACATTTGTGCTAATTGTCCCATGAAGATGTTGATTTGCTTGTATGCTATCAATTCCATGCTGTAGTAATGAGCAATTGACCACCCCCCCCCCTCCCTTTGCCCCACCCCAGGCCACCCCGCCCTAAATAGAAGGTTATACAATGTGTGGCTAGCACCTATTCGACTACTATTCGTCCCCCAAACCAGACACGTACAATGTAAAGCACAGCTAATGGTTCCCCCGACTGTTTTTTGCTCGTTTCTCGAAGCTATTTCCCAAAGGTGCAGTACATTTTAAGAGAATCAATGTCATGAGAGTGATCATTTTGATGAGCATATCTCATGCATGGTCATATCATTTAGAGGTGGTCAATGGGCTTAGTTGACCTAGTCTAATCCAGACCACCTGCTAACTGGGCTCACTGAGGCCCATTATGAATTTACCCGGACACAATCCCGGATATAACAGTCCACCTAGGTGATTTGTGGGTTGAACTTGACCCACCAGTTCAGCAGCTTTTGCAACTTTTTCTAAAAAATTACCAAGTACCAGAATTATCCAAATAGTGAGCATCCATTTCTTATTTGAATGAGGTCCATCATCCACTGTCTGCAATTTTTAACTTCTAATCAACAAAACCCTTTAAATCCGACTATATAATATCTTATTTGCCCAAAAAATTAACTAATACCACTGCTTTCTTGTTTATTTTCATATTAAACATTAAGAACGATATCCCACTACCAGGAGACATGAAGCTTTTAGGGGATAGACTAATAATGATCTAAGAAATTAAGTAGGAGTTAAGGGAAGCACTTATATCAATTCACCACAGGGAAGCACTTATAGTCGGAAAAGAAAACAAACTATACATGAAAGCTCGTAAGATAATACCTGAATTTTGTCAAGTGAATATAAAACAGCAAAGTGAGTAGTGACGGTTGATGCTGAACAAATGCATTCATGACCCAAGGTGCCATCTGAAAAAAGCACTGCCAGCAAAATCTGAAAAATAAGCAGCATTTTCCTCTTCTCTGAAAACAATTCTGATACATACTGATTCCATAAGGTCCTATGAATCTATGATAATGTCTGAGAAGTCAAGAAAAAGGATGAACCATAGACAAGAAAGGAACAAATCTAGCCTGAAAACAGTTATACATTAATGTAGAGAAACGGTATCAGGATCTGTACATGCATTTGCTAAACTGCATCAAAAGCAAACGTTAAGATGCAAGTGACACACAATTCTAATGGCCCTCTGTTAGCTGCTCTCCTATCTCTAAATTTTTAAGTTGATGAGACAATACTACAACTAAAATCAACCTTATGTACACACTTTGTGACTTATACAGACATTTTGACTAAGATGATGCTTGTATCACTTCACCTGTTTCATCACATGCAATGGGAAGATGTATACTGAGGTCATCCAAACTGGGGTTCCCTACAATAGTTAGTCCATGTTCATTCGCGAGATGCAGAAGGCAGATGAAACATAGATGAGGGGAAATATCATGGGTTGAAGCAGCTTTGCATTCATCAGGAAAAGCGGTTAATACATGTCTGAAAGATGCAGCATCTCCATGCACCTCCTTCCAAATAAAAAAAACATATTATCAAGATGCTGAAATGAAAGCAAAATCTACTGTTGCCGTGGCTGAAAAGATGATGCATGGCAACTACGGATAATAAAGGACTCAATGCATATATAAAGAACTAATGCTCAATATATCATTAAACTAGTAGAGCATATTCAAGTTCCATGTGATGATTTCCTAGGATAGATGAGAAAAGGTGTCCAACAGATAATTAGGGGTAATTACAGTTAGTAGCGCATCTAAGCTCAATTTGAAAGAAGTCATGTGTGATTAATCCTATACAATCAGCAATAAATAGCATCCAAAGAGCATAAGAAAAAAATGTTTCAAATGCATTGCAGCATAAGAGTATGTGTTTGACTGCTCATCATTAAAATTGACGCTCCCATGGAATTATAATTATGCTGAACAAGCATTTCATCGACAAGGTAGGTATGATCAGTTATTCAACAAGCTCAATCATCGACATGGTAGGTATGCATCAGTTATTCAACAAGCTTATCAAAAACGATTTTAACAAACAGGAAGCGACATTTTTCTTTAAAGAATTGGAAACTGCAACCATTACTACATTTGCAACAAGTATGGTATCTTTACAACAGACGGATCAATCAAAATATAGTCAATCAGTGCATTAACTCCCCTATAATGTTGAAGAATGACGAAAACAAACCAAGATGGTTCAATTAACATTCAAATTTTCATTACAGTAAATCTGAGGGACATTTGCCTATCATAAACAACTAATACTTTTTCTCATAAGCATGTCAATCAGATGCCATCACGTATTTAAAGCATGACATATTTACCAAAACTATTAATCCAGTTTCATATTTAATTGCGTTACACATTCTACCGGTTGACGGATGCTAAAAACCTGCAAATATTGTTTGATTGACATTTACACTTTCACTAGAAAGTAGAAACCATATATTATAGTTTCAAGGTTATGAACATGGAATAAACTCCACAGGACATACTTAAGCCAACATTGAAGTTGAAAGGAATGTCAAATGGAATCACATTGTTGGTTAGTACTTGGACAATGTGAACTCTACTCCATTTTTGTTGTATTACCATGGAAAAAAGTCTCTATGACCCTATCACACAATATATTCTATATCATTAAAAAGCCAAACAAAGATCTAGAACCCGCAAATCATATTCAGGGTTCATGGAGGAGAAAAAAATCATAAAGACCAAATTTACCCAGGATAAAAACCATCATGTTTCTAACATAAGGAACCAAAAATCAAAGTATATTCTCATAGATCAGTACTCACCACTTCAGCAGTCTGAATAGAATCTTGCACAAGGGTCCAAAGTGTCTCCTTCAGCAAATGCACATCAATTTGTTTTGAAGTTGTGTCATATTCGACTTCAATTTTATCAACCTAGTTCATTACTCGTTAGAACACAGAAAATTAGGAAATTCAATAAATACAACATTCCCAAAACATTTATAGATTAAACTAACCAACAACATTCAAATTTCATATACTTTGCAATTGATCGCAACAGAAGGCAGACGTGCCTAACTGAGCTAAGGCAACACAAAATGAAAAGAGAAGCATAATCGTACCTTGCGAGGCTCAAAAACAAAGGTGTCATCTTCTGCATCTCTGTAAATGTAATCATTGTCTGGGCCATCAACTGTAATTTCATGGTCCCATGAAGAAAATGTACTATCAACATCATCTACTTGCAGCAAAGATTCATGCCCTAAACACACAAATAAATCAAAAGGTTAATGATATTTCGGAAAATGTCCCTCAAATAATTAAGCATGTGTGATGCCAAATAATTGACACCTTACACCACTTGGATTGGCATAACTCATGGTACATGAAGTAAGCGATTGGTAACCTTAGCCTCATTGGATAAGTGAATATCTATCACATACCAATAATCATGACTTTTGTCAAGTCATAGTATAGTAACAGCATCAACTAAAATAGCACTACCCAAAATATACGTTAGCAATTATATCATTTGGACTAACACGAGTTCCCAAGAATTTTAAAAACCGCTTTAAATTACGAAACAGCTTGAAGCACTTCCATTTTTAATTTTGGATTGACAGGCCAAGAAAATCAGAAGGAAAAAAAATTATCAGTGCAAGGTCATCAACTAATCATAATACTTTTCTAGGACTACAATCAAGTGTAATGAATGAAGGCAGCGTTCCAGGTGGATTGATTACCTATAAGAGGAGGTGGCACAAGAATCATTAAGATGAGCTGTAGTGGAGCACAGAGCAGCATTCATCAGGGGGGGGGGGGGTGAGGACAAACGATAACAATTGGGCACTGGGCAGCAAGGGAGTAGGTAGGATCCTTTTGGCAACTTTTGGGATTGGAGGGCTATGTAAATATAAAAAGGGGAAGGGTAGCAAGAATATGCATCTTGTGTAAGAAGAAGAGTTGTAGAGCATGGTAACCTAAAGTTACTGTTTGAGATTGGTGGCCTCAAGCCACTGTTGTAATAATTTCCTTTTGTCATTCAATCAAGCAGCCTTCTCTATTCTCTCAAAATATCTTCCTCGTGATTTTTGCTCAGTAAAGAATTACCAATAGTAGTGGTTCGTTACACCAAGACCATTTGAGATTAGCCAATTGATAATATATGAACTGCCTCAACTCAGTCATGCAGACAAATCAAACGGTAAGGTCTCTAGGAAAATTTTCATACCTGAAACTCTTCTTTTAATCTTCCCAAGGTACTGCAACAGAATGACAGATGGACATACAATTAATAGACTACTCCAGAATAGACATAATAGATTTGCAAAAGGAAAATAATCAAATCTAAGTCAGTAGCTGATAAAATTAGCTGATGTCTTCTTCACAGTTCATACTCCATGTTATGTTAAAAATAAATGTGTGAAATCTATGACCTAGCCGAATCCCTACACTGAGTCAAGATGAGCCATTAAACACAGTTGCTTTATTAACTTGGTAAATGCCAGCAGTCTTGAATGATGAGCTTGCCTTTGATAGAAAACGAACTATTATTCATTGCACTAAGATTTTAATTACCCACGCTTGAGAAAATGAATATATTTTTATGCATACAAGACAAGGACTGAACTGGAGTCATCATTTAGAAACTTTTTTCATTTCCAATTAACATACTGCAAACTAAAACCACAATTTCCTTTAAGAATTCAAATTTTTTAAAAATGGCTTAATTAAAGGTTAGTATTTAGTTTCAGAAGGGGGGGGGGGGAGGGTAAATACAGTAGCCTAACTTAAATTACCATGACATTTGGAAGAAGAAATAATTTCACAAGATCCTCCGGTTGATAATGGCAATCCTCTGGAAGTTTGTTTGAACAGGAAACTTTTTTACTTGAAAGAAGCAAAGACTTGGGACTTTTCACAGGAACACATAGATCAGGCACTTCCTCATCCAAACTTCTAGTGAAGTCAATATCTGATTCCAATAAACTTTTACGTTTTGGTCTCTTAGAAGCACAATTTGGCCTGTTGTCCTGAGCTGAAAAACTCTTACAAATTTTTTTAGAGATGAATGTTTAATTGTTTGTGAAAAAAAAAAAAAAAAAAAAAACAACAAAAACAAAATTGTCATCCCAACAATATCAAAATTCAAATCTAACCATCAGGTTTTGAATATGTCCAGTGGTCAGGTCCAGCCCATGCATTACATGCTGATTTACATCTCAGTCCTTTGAAAAAAAGCCATGCAATATTCTCAATGTTGTCTCTTACAACAGGTTCATCAAGCACAAAATGCACTGGCCCTGGTTCCTAGGAATATAAAAAAAAAAAGAGCCAAACAAAATTAGAGTCTAATTCCAATTTCAAGGAATTAGCTATTGACAAACATGAGTTTGATTATTGAAGCATGATATATATGACACAGATACTCTAGAATGCAAATAAACAGTCTAAATTTAGAATGATAAATCATACTTCATTATAGTTTTCAGAAACATCTGTTTCATGATAACGATTTGCAGACCATGCCCCAGAATCATCACAAGGACTGCCATCGAACATAACCCCAATATCCTCAGTTGCATCACTGGTGCCAAAACATTCCTTTTCCACATTGAAATCAGCTTTATCTGATTCAATTACATTTCCATTGACAATGGGCTCAGCGCCATCAAATGTCGTTGATGGCAAGTTAAGCTGCTTCATTAAAACTCCAAGGCTAGGAGATACATCTTGCTTCTGATGCAAGTTTGCCGCCATTAGCTCAATATATTCTGTGAAAGGAAGAAAGCAATAAAATAACCTGCTGGACATGTAAGAAGGGACTCCATCAAAGTTCTTAAACTGACCTTTAGCAAAAGAGACATCAACCAGATCAGTAGTACTATCATTTGTAGGTGATATGCACCTTGCTGGGAATTCTTGGGAATCAAACAGTACCCTGCACCCTCCATACACTCCAAGATTACATAGAAGGAGACCCTTCGCCCCACCTTCGTCAAACTGTGCAGACGTCTGATAATACAGAGGATCCACTGCAAATGCAACTGAGGGACCAGAGGAACATAAATGCTCAAAGTTGGAAAGAGAGAGTACATGTATATAAGCGTGTATAGTAGTGAGAAAAAAGAGATAAATCCCACATTACCATCAAGCTTCTTAGCATTCAAAGTTTCAAAGGATGATTCCACTGTTGACAAAGGTGAAACCTGTATGAATCCATAAATAAACATTTTATAAGAATATACCAGGAAATTATATCTGTAAGTTGACCCCATATCATGGAGATATGAAAAAGGAGCGCACAACCTTTCTCTCAACTTCCTTTACAGGAGGCCTGCCTTCCTCTCTCTTTTTACCGATTACATCTCCTCTAATTAAAGTTTCTGTCAACAAATACAAAATCAAGAAGCTGACCAGAGAACATGTATTGCGCCTTCAGCTAGCATTATAGTTAAAACTTAACCAGTAGCATATAACTTCCCTTCAATTTGTCTACTCAGCATCTGGTAAAACTTTTTACCAATAGATCAGGCTTTTTTGAAAACTTTAAGAAGGTCATCAGATTATACTTGAGGTTATTCACTTGTGCGTATTTAGAGTCTAAGATAATGCACGCTAATATTTGCCAAAAATGCATATGGACTAGCTTGCACTATACTACTATACTGTAAGTGGACACATAATGGCATGCCTCCCACCATTCACAATTGTGTCGCCCTTATTATTAAATAAATATCGAACCTTCCTCATCTTCTTGACCAGCTCTGCTTATACCATTCAGGACTCTATAAGCATCAGCATGCCATGCATCCACCCTCACAGCATAAATCTTCACCCCGGTTTCCAGAGTACAACTTGCCTACAGTAATCAAAAGTTCAAACTTCAAAATACTACATCAAAGCCAAAACAAAAAATACATAAATTTACATTTCTATTTGACAGACGCTGTCGAGATATAATTGCATTTAAAAATGATGACCATATCTTCAAGTACAAAGAATCACCTCAACAATAAAGTTCTCATCGATTTATTGCATCTACGTTCAACAATAAACACTATCTGTTTATCAACAAGCTGAGTAGATCATGATATTACTATTTGATTGATAAATTCGATTATGTGTACAGAAATTGTATGTGTTAAAGAGGACATCACATGTCAATGACATGACACAACCTATGGAACATGTATCAACAGATTACTTCATCTGTGGAAAGTCATCTCCATTCTTATATCACTAGTATCATATGAGGAAAAAAAATTGAGAGATTTTCTTCCATCTCAAATCCACTTCTATGTGATTTGGTTGACTTATTTCGTTCCTTCTTTGCACTTGTACATGAGATTAGGATTTCTAAATCATATAATAAAAAATATCTACTTAATCACAGCATAAAATTAAACTATTAAAGTTTGTTTCAAGTAGTTGTTGTATAAGTATATAGCATCGTGATACTATGCTACCATGTAGAGCCTTATATCTACTTGTTTACAAAACTTAAGTAGTAACCTATGGGAAATCCTTACCTACCTTTACCACCTTTGACCCCTTCTCATATATATTGACGCGAAATTTATTTATTATGGAAAAAATATTTCAATGGAAATTATAAACTTAAGGTTCATTTGGCATTGTTGTGGTTTTCTGTTTTTTGGTTTTTTGTTTTTCAAATTCATATGATATATTTCATATAATGAATAAAAAATTAGTTAAACTTATTAAAATCATAATAATTTTGAAAACTGACAACAGAAAAGTGGAAACACCTTTTTCTTGTTTCCTGTTTTTGGTTTTTTGTTTTAAAAAAAACAGAAAACAAAAAATAAAAAACGATGTCAAACAAGCCCTTAGGTTTTCTTCTATTTGATTTCACACCAAAAAATTTAGAAATGAAAGAGAGACATGAAGAAAAGGAGAGGAGGCAGAGTGGAAAACGCAACATTCCTACCTTCATCTAAAGAAAATAACTCTCATAAGAAAAAAATATAAAAAGGAAAATAGTAAGACCAAAGTTTTGTGGAAACAGATTTTACCCCAACCAAATATATTCTAAATTAAATCCATATCTATCATCCCTTCAAAAAAAAAAAAAAAAAAAAAAAAAAAAAAAATCCATATCTATCATTATATCCCTTTAAAATGTTTCTTGTTGCACTAACATATATGTGGTGGTTAACCAATAGAGGTTTCGACGCATCAAAAAAAATTGTTCCCTTTGTTTTGAAAAAATATACAATCCTCCGACTTAAGAAAGAAACTTATAAAATTACCTCCATTTCAAATTATTTGTAACAAAGGAATATTATTTATGAGACATAAAATATTCCTTTGTTATTGTACAAAACAATCCATTATGAGGTAGAATGAGATTCGATAAAATAAATGAAAAATTATTAATTGAATAAAAATAAAATCATAACCAAATTGTATCCACAATCTAAATGAATCAACGCAGCGAGTAACAAATGACAATAATATAAAAATGATTCCATACAAGTAGTTTTTTTTTTTTTTTTTTTTTTTTTTTTTTTTTTTTTGAACGGATTCCATACAAGTAGTTGATTCTAATCTAAATACAATTATTTATTGCTTATAAGAAGACTTAAAAACACAAATATAGTCGGGATTCGATACAATTATATCCGCAAGATAAAGATACATTGCCATACATACACACAGAAAGTCATAAAATTACTAGTGCAACCCTAAATATATACGAATGAACAGACCACGTAAAAAGCTGTGAAACTTTGTTTGATTTCTACACTTAAAATTTCTTATATTCGAGCAATTCAACAAAACATAGACATAAATCAGCATTTTACCTTCTGGAAATTAGTTTCAGCGTTGTTGTTTTCTGATTCAGCTTCAAATCCTTCAATTATCTCACTAAGATGATCAATCAACTTCAGCTCCCACGTATTTTTCTGATTAATTTTCTGCAATTTCCAGAAATAAATAAAAATAAAAAACAAAAATCAAAGAAACTTTATCGTAATTTATACAAAAATAATCATACAAAAAAAAAATTAGAAAGGAAAATTTACAGGAAGTTACGTTTTCACTGGCAAGCTTAACGCAATTATGGAACAGCTCCATAATTTGATGGCGGTCAAGGCAAGAGTCAGAGGAGAGAGAATTTCGAGAAAGATGAACTTCGACGGGCTTCCGACGGAAAGCGGCGGCACGAGCGGCGCGTGCGGCGGCGCGTTCGAGTTGATCGTCGTTGGAGCCGAGGAAATACGGGCTTGTAGGAGCAGGCATTGTTAATTTTAGGTTCGGATTTGAAATTGAATTGGGGGTTAGGGTTTCCGCCATTGTTACACACCTTCGGAGGAGAGAGAAAGAGGAGTGAGATGAAGTGACAATGGTGTGGTTTTTGATGGGATGATCAAATGAACTCTGTAAAACATGAAAGGAAGATGAAACGGTGTCGTATTTTGTGTTTTTGGAGGGAAAGAGAAACTTGTCACGTACGATTTTTTATTTTATTTTTTATTTTTTTTTGGAAACAGTCACGTACGATTTTTGAAATACCAGAAACGAAAAATAAAAGAAAAAGAAAATAAATAAAAAAGACGTTACAAAGGTCAATATTACGACTTTCCACGTCCCAATATAGTCAAATTAGTTAAATAGATCAATGTACATACTACTATAGATTAAACATTTAAACACTTGGGTCTCATTTGGTAGCATGTAGGAATTAAATGCCCATAGAAAATTATAATATATGGGAAATTTTATTTTCTAGGAAATATTAAAATTGTGTTTAGTTGATATATAGGAAATCATATTTCTCATGAATTAGTTTTCTATATTTTGTTTGGTTAACTTATGTAATACTCATATATTATTATAATTTGAATTACTTTCCCAAAATTTTGAGGACAATAATGTAATTTCACCCAAAATACATTTGGGAAGTTTGAGTGATCAAGATAGGGTATGGGAAATTAATTCCCATGTTTGTAGGAATTCCAAATATTTGAAATACATCCCGTCTAAAAAAAGCTAACGTACTACGGAGTAATTAATTGTAAAAATATTTTGCAGCTTATATGTATTAATTAGAAGTGGATTAACAAAGAAAGTAGTAGTTGTTATACAAACAATGAGGTGAAGCTTTTTGTAGATTTTGATGCAGTTTGCTGCATGTGTGCATGTGTTTTTTTTTTTTTTTTTTTAATTAATGAACGAAACTCGTGAACAAATGGACAATGTTTATACTCTGTAGTTTATAAAGACAGTTTTGCAGTCATCACAAAAACGAAATCTATACCCTTGTTGTAGTTTGCAGCTTTCTGATGAAATACTCATACATGAAGTACTATTTACCAACCAATTCAATAATAAATACTTCAGTTTTTGTTATAGTGTTTATAATATCTACTGGTATATATGAACTATGGAGGGTTTATTTTATACTCGTATTTTTTGTTTGTATTAAAATGAAAGAAACTCATTGGATAATAATGTTTATTATAAAAAAAAAAATATTTCAATTCTTTCGCTACCTTTAAATTGCAATGGTTCGACATACAAATTTGACCATTACTTCCATTAAGAATTCAAAATATACCTTTACAACCTCTTTTTTTTTTTTTTTTTTTTTTTGATAAAGAAAATGTACCTTTAGACTTATATAATGCTGTTAAGTATAATTAACTCTCTCATCATGACCTGCCAACAGTAGAATTCTTTTCTCTTTTTGTTGAGTCCCTTAGGTTTTGATTGATAGTTTTGAATGATGACAAACAGCTAAGGGAAACAGGTCCTTGAAAGTGTTCGATACAGTTGGGGGAACCAGCTAACATAGAACACTGTTTCCCCAGACAAGTTATTACTTACATGAGTTTTCTTATTGAACTAACTTGTCTTTATACAGGGAACAGTTATATGATAAAAGTGTTATGTACTGGTAGGGAACCAGTATGTACTGTTTCCATGGTTGCTACGTGGTAAAGCAGTCACATACTCTTTATTGTGCATTAACCATGTTACATGTACAGTAGTTGAGTTGATTCCAAGACTTGGAGCATAGAAGCCTTTCGAAGATATTTCGAAGAAAGATTGTTTGCTCATAATAGAAGTATTCAAGGAAGATTCAAGTCTTGAAGATTACATGAAGAAAAGACGATTTATGCTTTAATATGTTATCTAGGTTTTCATGTAATATGCTCCGTAGTATGCTTGCATGTTTGGGTTATATAAGTGCTTAAAAGTATATTGAAGTATGATATGAAATCTGGTACAAAGTTGGAACAGGTTTCATAACATGTTTCAATTCAGGGAACCAGGTCGGGGAACCAGGTTCACTGTACGAGATATTCGAGCTGCCGTTTTGGAAAAAGATTTTACAAAAAGATTTTTTCGAAAAGATTATCTTGAAAATATTTTGTGCAGCTGGAAATAAGATGAAATATTCTTGGTTACCTAAAAACTAGGAGTATTTATCTTAATTGATTCTATCTTTGTGATTAAATCAAATAAGATAAATACTTTCCTAAAATTACAATATATCTTATTCTCTAAGATTGTGTGATTTAAGGAAACTAGGTTTTAGGAATCTAAGCTTATATAAACTCATCTTATTTCACATATTTCGTGTGCCTCTCTAGAAATTAAAGGAGCAATTATTTGAGAGCATATACTTAAGCACTAATCCCATTCATCAAGTCATATACAAGAGCATTCTAGTACTTAAATATTTTCTCTTAATTAGCTTCGTAGAAGTGAGATCAAAGGAGAGTTCTTGATTCTTGTATTGAGTCTTTAACAAAGGGGTTAAAGGCTGGGTGAGTGTTTGTGAGTTCAAACACATTGGGCTTACGAGTGTAAGTCGAGAGCACACTCGGAGTAGAGTGTGGGGTTTGCTGGTTCCCGGAGTAGGGAACAGCAGAGTGTTCTTTGTCTTTGTTTTTCGGAGTAGATTAATAAAGAACTTAGGATAGGAGGACGTAGGCCTGAGTTGGCTGAACCTCGTTAAATTTGTTGTGTTCTTTATTGCTTTGTTTTATTTCGTTAAATTTGTTGTCTTCTTTATTGCTTATTTATATTCCGCTGCGTACGGGAACCAGCACAACTGGTTCCTCACACATAATCCGAAAAGAAGCAAAATTAGCCAACGATTACTTAACACTCAATTCACCCCCCCCTCTTGAGTGCCCATTGAACCTTCAATTGGTATCAGAGCCTAAGCTTCTCGAAAGAGTAACATCTAGAGGAGTTAAGAATGAGTACTCAAGAATTAAGTGCAATCGGTTATGACAACAAGTCACCCAAGTTTAATGGAAATAATTATGCTTGGTGGAAGAACAGGATCCAGAATGTTATCATGGGTATTGATTATGAATGCTGGCTCGTAGTTAAAGATGGTCCTAATATCATTCTCAAGACAGATGTTGAGGGGAACCAGGTTCCCAAGAAGGATAGCGAATTGGTCATTGCTGATTACAAGTTGCTGGAAAAGAATGCTAAGGCAATGTCAATACTACAACAAGCAATAGGTGAGACCGAAACAAATCGTATCTCTGGCTGTAGTAGTGCTAAGGAGATATGGGACACCCTTGAACTTGCGTTTGAGGGAACCAGCGAGGTAAAACGGTCTAAAATTGATTTAATCATGTCTAAATATGAATTGTTTGCCATGAATAAAAATGAAAAAATCAATGACTGCTTTCGTAGGTTTATGACTATTGTAAATGATCTTAGATCTCTTGGTAAAAATTTATCTGACGAGGATCTTGTGAGAAAATTATTGCGTAGTTTAACAGATGCATGGACAGCCAAGGTAACAGCAGTATATGAAGCAAAGGATCTGTCTACCTTGTCTCTGGAACAGCTGATTGGTTCCCTTATGACTCATGAGATGCTGATTGACTCTAAGTCTGAGAAGGAACCAGCAAGAGGCATGGCGCTTAAGGGAACAGTAGAAGATGATGAAGATGAAATTAGCATGATTGCAAAAAGATTTGAGAGATCTCTTCGAGATCAAAGAAAGAATTTCAAAGGTAAGCATTTTAAAAACTATAAAAAATCTAACTCTAATTCTTCTTCTACAGGATGTTTCAAGTGTGGAGAAAAAGGACATCTTATTCGAGATTGTCCTAAGTGGAATGACAAACAGTCTAAATCCGGAGATAAACAAGCATACAAGAATGCCATGATAGCTTCCATGTGGGGAGACTCTGACTCAGGGTCAGATGAAGAAGAAGGATCACCCAACTCAGATGTTTGCCTAACTGCCTTTACAAACATCAAGGAAAACAGCACTGGTCCAGGAACCAGAGGGGGAACCAGTACATTCAACAAATGCTTTATGGCAAAGAAGGATGTACTACATGAACGCAAGGTAAGCTTAGAGCAAATTAGAGAAGATATGCATGAATATGATAGAGAAAATATGCTTGCTTGTATTGATTCCTTACTAGATGAATGCTATAAACTAAGTGAAACATACATAACTTGCAAAAGAGAATTAAAAGAAAAACGTGGTGAATGTAATATTGCTATTGCTAGTTGTGATCATCTAGAAGGAGTCTGTTATGAACTAAAAAATCAAGTAGCAGAACTAGAGGTTGAATTGGACAAGTGTAAAGTGGAACTAGAAAAGGAAAGATCGTTTGAACCAATTGATGGTGAAGAGGATCTGACCTCCTGGTTCCCTAGAGACTTATCAACCACTAGTGATACTCTTGATTTTTCAGTAGCTATAAGTAAAGCAAATTCGTGTACTAGAACTTCCTTGTTGAAGGCCTTTGAAACATTGGCTTACAACCTGGAAAACTCTCACAAGGAAATTGCTTCACTTAAAGCTGCACAGTTCACTGTTTCCCCTACAGGTACCAGTGTAGATGTCAGTAATACGATTGATAAGTATGAAAGTAATATTTGTGATTTGCATGCGGAAATCAATCAACTGAAAAAGGACAAGCAACCAGTGATTGTTGACATGTCTATTGACTCTATGGTTTCAAAACTTAATCTACAATTCGAAGCTTTAAAAAGTAACTTTGATTTTCTTAAAGAGAAAAACGAATTGTTAACTAAAACACTTGAAACCAGAGAAAAAGAACTTAATGATAGTCATAGACATGTGGACAAATTATTGAATGCTCAAGAATCCTTAAATTACCTGACTTCATCAAGAGGAAACAGAGGAAAAGTTGGTCTTGGTTATACTAGACAGAGAACCAGGACTAACTGGTCTCCCAGAGAAACCACCTGGATCAAAGAATATCAACGAGGCAAGTATGTCATGA